AAAGCTTCATGGTGTAATATAAATCCCAACTTTAACTAATCAGATCTTATATTGAAAAAAATCACCACATCGAACATACATACAGAACTTGCGTTTTTTTTTTTTTAACTCAATCTTTATTTAACCAGGTCAGCCCCATTGAGGATGGAAACCCGGCCAAGATGGCAACATAAAAACTTGCAGACAAAACAAACACCAGGTAAAATCAGACACCAGATAACAGAGACAGATAACAATACTAAGAAGACTAAAATAATACAGATGAGAACACAAACAAGTCCTCACAGTGAGGTTGACTCTTTTTGCAGACTGTTCTAAGTGGTGGGACCAGAAAACCTGAAGGCCTTCTTTCCCATCTCTGTACGTACATTTTGGACTGAGGGCATGGCTGATATATGTCTGCAATCTGAGATACTGTTTAAAAACTCTGTGAAAGTATTTTTCAGAGACTGGGTGGTAATTTTCACAGAATAGCTTTAAAATAAAACATCACAAATGACTCAATCAATATATGGACAAAGATGACCAGCCACATCTGGAAAACAACGCTCATGATGAGTTATACGTCTTACCTTAGATACAATTCTGCTACAATAAACAGAGCCCAATAAGGGAAGACTGTTCAATTTTAGACTTGCTAGCGGCTTTGAAGTCTAGGGGTAGCAACGTCAGTCGGTTGGTCTACCATTTACACTTACCTTTTGTACGGACAGTTGTGGTCCCCAGAAGTTGAAGCTTACTGAGTGACCCGCTGACCTTTCCTCTAGCGCCACCATGAGGTTTTGTGTCAAAGGTTTCAACACCTATTCGATAGATTGACGTGACATTCAACAGACATTCATGTTGTTCTCAGGACAACCAATCACCAGTTGCACCATCATGAGGTTGAAATTCCATGACATTAGCATTTAGGTAAAGCACTGCTGCAACCGAGGCCTTACAGTGCCACTAGCATGGCTGTAGACTTTCACTTAAATGACAAGAAAATTAACAGAAAAGGTAAAACAACAACCACATATATTCAAATATGCAGTTTACAGATAAAATATAACACACTCATCATGTAAGATCACACATCATTTATGGAAGTGTTTTTTCTTCTTCAATTGAAAACTGATTATCCCCAGTGAGGGCTCTTGCAGGAGAATCCTAAACCCACGACACATCAACAGGGACGAGACAGTTGTCTTGCACCATTTGTTATTGAATAATGAAGCATGGCCATTTGGTTAATTAATAATTCATACTGTAGTAGACCTATAAAATCACCTTGGGGCAAGCCTGGGCTCAAAAGACAAAAACTACAGGAACACCTGAATGTCAGCTTGATTGTGGTGTATGTAATTACCCATCCAATTAAATTTTCATCACTTTTTTATAGCTCTACAATTTTAAAGTAAAATACCATTTTCCCTTCAGAGAAGCATTAAAAGTGGCAAGAAATGTCTGAGACAAAAAACCCCACTTACATCGTGCTTGTTGAATGTGGACCATAAAGAAGACTTGCATAGGTGTCATTTCTAATGGGACTTACCATTTAACTCATGTTAGCTCAAGGCAATTACAAAATAATATAACCTAAGGCTCCTACCAGGAGAAAACTGTAAGCATTGCTGATCCAAATTGTAGACTATTTGCGCTTTCGGGTGCAATTAGCTCAGCCTCATCTGCCCTCACTTTGAGCTTGTAGGTGCAAAGCTATGGAGCAAGCAACAACTTATTTCTAGTAGTAGTTCGAATAACAGCTTCATAATCAGTTTGAAGGCACACTGACTTCTAATAGGGAGAATGGTGTCTGTCATTGCCACTTTGGACCCGGGGCGCTTGATGTATTGCTACGTAACATTTAAATCCCCACAAGAACGGCGTAATGCTTCACGGCACCGCATCACACCAACAAAACTCTTCAGCAAGCAAGCTATAAGAAGAAAAAAAGTATATAATGTACAATGTAAGTTCTTTAGATTGATTGAGATTGAAGAAGAGGAGGAAGCGAGAAAGAGAAAAAAAAACAAGGCGAGTGACCGAGCAAGAGACTGGACAAGAGTGTACCCCCTACTACCGAGAAAATGGCAATGTGTCTCCCTCAATATGCAGTACAAAAGATGATTAAAATGTACTACTCTTGTTATGTCCTATTTATTTTTTATTGTGTGCCAAAATATAATGATTGCTGGTCACAATTGTCTAATTACTAGGTGTATAAGTCAGTAAACAGTAAGCAACTGGCCAAAACAAATGGAGCAGTCGGTGTCTCGGAGAAATCACAATTTGTTTAACTGAATTCAGATGGTCAATGTAACAATTTTTTTTTATATAAAAATATCACAGAATTGTGGATGTAGGTAAAAAATATAGTAGGTTAAAAACAAGGAGGTATATATCATTCTGTGGGTTCATGAATAGTCAAAGTCACCTCTCTTTGAGCCGCACCTATAACTTGAATCTGTTTGTTATTCCAGTATTCATTTCACAACACAAAGACGGGAGAATCAGCCACAGAATACTAATTGAGCTAAGGAAGTGATTTGTTTGCTGGTTTGGGAAAGCCCTGCTTCAAGGCTCTTTGTGAAGGATGAATTAGCACACATTGTAGGCTGCCTATTGAGACACTCAGAGACAAAATACCCTGCCATTCAGTCTTTTTGGGTTTTTTTTCTTATGCTTGTTCTCTTGCTCAGCCGCTTTTCACCACCATTGCTACAGTTTATGCAAGCTGTTGTATTGTAACAGTGGCAGTGACACGGTAGATGATACTTTCCCATAAAGACTTGCTTTGGAAATGCTATAACTCTGTTGTACTTAAAATAACCTATGAGCCAAACACTGCACATTGAAAGCACAATCATCTCTCTCAAAAACAATTCTGCAGCTGACTCCCTGAATCACTGTTACATATGTGTACATGTCTTGCCTTTGTCAAGCTCCCATACCTTTATCATATTCACATACAGTACATACTATATCTCTTTTTTAAACTATATATTTTTAATGTTCACAGTTTTCTGAGGAACAAGCTAGCTGCATGAAGGAGATAACTGTGCAAGACTTTGCCCTAAATATTGCCTTTGCCCCTCTGGAGACCAACTTCCAGGAGATCTGAAAGTCTGTCAAAATACTTACAGGGTCCCCAGGCGCTTTGACCTACTTGTTCCTCTTGCAAGGCAAACTGTGGAGACATACAGAAACAGAAAATAGTTCACAATTATAAAGCTTTCAATCATCACTGCCAGCACTCACATTAAAAAGAGCGATACGATGGCTTATTCTGCCAAAAACTCATTAAAATTAGGTTAAGGTGGCGCACACCACATTGGTGTACGACATGCTGTAGGTTACTGAACCAACTTCTATAACCAGCACTCACAATCTGCTCCTTTTTTTGATAAAAGATTGTATGACACCACAAGTCCACAGGATTTTGGTTCCATGTTCATTTAGATTCAACACCGAAATAATAGGATCTGCAAAATCAGATCTAATAAGGCTTTGTTGCTGTTTTGGCCAGTCTATTGCTTTAACTTAAAATACTGACTAAAAAACTGGGGATTCTTTCATCTTTATTTTAGCCAATTCACCAAATTCTGGAATTCGGCTAAATTTACATTAAAAACCCTGTCACAGTCTGATTTTACATGAAATATTTTCTGCTTTAACCAATTTTATTGAGGTGATTTTGAAACATAAACTGTATGCCACAAAAATTAATCAAAGCTGATTAGAGTTTGAGCTGGGACAACATGATGCGTTCAAGGCACTTACATGGCTCCATAATGAGGAAAAACATAAAATTGCTTGCAGTTCCTATTCCATTTTTCTCCACTAAGGTTTGCAACACTTCCAGAAAAATTAACGGAACTGCTCCCGTCCAGCCTTACTTACAAATCGCTGTGACTGGGGACAAAATTTAAAGGTCAAATTTCAAACTTTGAAAGGCCACAGCTGCTGCACACTTGTGTCTCATTTTGATGAAGCTCGGAGGGATAATGCATCTTGTTACAGACTGGCTCGAGGGAGGCCTGCATTTTAAAGTAAAAAACAAAACAAAAACACGTTTATTTACATAAACCTTGATATAAAGCAAATGAATGCAAGCATATTTGTATTTGTAGAAGCATGTGGACATCAGTCTTTCTAGCTAGCTTTTCCGCTAAACGACAGCATCAACCTTTTTATTAGCAAGATTATAGAAATAAAGCAATTATAGTGTGCTATTTTAATGGACAGAGCACTTAAGACAATCACTCAATCACAGGCTCTTAAAGAGAAGGCCAGGGGTGAATACATCTTTTCTTGCAGTGCAGTGGGATAGCATTGTCACAGTACTGGAGCGGAAAGATTTCAAAGCACGGTAGATGGCTTTGTGCACCGCAGCCACTTCATCACTTCTTGGCTGAGGTGCACGTCTTCCTTAAATCAACATTGCTGTTTTGCTGTTAATCAGTACAGTGCATTGAAGAGTCTACTAATGTGTTCACTACCGTGGCTTTACCACTGTTACAGTGAGGCACTTGGATTTTAATATTGTTTTCCAATTATGGATGTGTCACATGATGCAAAGCACAACAATTATTTTGTAAAGGTTAGGCTCAAGTTTGGTGGATTACCCTCAGTAGCTTCTAAATGTCACACCTTTCAAAAGAGGAAAAGTAGTCCTTAATGGTTCCTCAGGGGTCATCTTTCAGTGTCAAAAAATTAAATTACATCCCACGATTTGAAGGTGATTTGGTGCTCGTTGAAAACAGTGACTTTTTTATTATGCACATCTCTTTTCACTTCATCTTTCTTAGACACACACCCACAGTGCAGAGCCTCTCCATGTCTTTCCCTCTCATCCTCTTGTACTCGTGTAGGCTGTTGATCCCTCTCTGGTACATGCCAATAGCTGCTTGTTTCAGAGAGGATGGGGGTTGGTCCTGTCCTCAAAGCAGACTCCCTCAGTCCCATATAAATACACTCACAGATGTCTTGCTTCAAGCCGTGCCTGCCTCTCTCTCTCTCTCTCTCACACACACACACACTCCTGCTGGAATCGGACAATTACTGGCATTAATTCTAGCAGCAAGAAAGAGGTGCAAGGGGAAACGGTGGGAACTAAACAGGGGCGGTAAAGTGGAATGAGACAAGAGACAGAGTGACAGAGAAAGGAAGAGCGAGGGGAGGAGAGTAGAATAGAGGGAGGGAGGGTTTAGTGTGTCTGAGCATTGGAGCACAGCGTGAGCTTTGGAGCGCCTTCCTGACATGTACACCTGTAAGCCCTACTGCTTCATTCAGGGATGCAGGATTCATGTATGAATGGCAGTGACGCCTTTGATGGCAGCAAATAGTCTATCTTAATGAGATCATTTAAGCTCAGAGGCAGAGGCAGCGGAGGAGAAGGCGGCATGCAAAGAAGTGGATGTGGAGCTGCTCCGGTCTACAATTAAGGTCTGAACCTTTTCTCTCCTTTGATCTGTCAGCCTTTTGAAATCTGCAGTACGGACAGACAGGACATGCTTTATGACTGTTTATGGATGTTTTTTCCCCCCATCATAGTGCATTGTTAAACAAGACAAGCGACAGCAGAGATGAGTTTGTCAAAATCTCTGTGGTGTCTTATCTGGCTGAATTACAGAGAACTTTCATGTTGAGTCAAGTCATTTACAGAACTGTTGAGATTAATGGGATTAGAATGCAGATTTGTTAATGATCTTTGTCTATTTCTTAGTTCCTTTGTTGTTTCACACCTAGTGACACACAGCATGAAGGCTCATTGAATCAGTGAAATACTGTCACTGCAGTAACATTAGACATCTGGTTGAAAAGATTGATACCTTAGTGTCATCTGTGCTTTAGTCACTGTAAAACTTTAGTTTGCTGAGCCTGTAATTTTTGACTCTGCTCAGCACGACGGAAATGTAGATCTTTTAATTAGACTTTGGATGATCTCTAAGATGTCATTTTGGCACGTTGCTGCCAAACTCTCTGGAGGGAACTGCAGATTATCCAACACTTCTCAAAATACTGACACTAATGAAGATGCAGTTGAATGATAATGATAAAATATGTTCACTCCTTAGCATTACTTATTGCCACAAAAAGTCTATCTTTGTACAAAAGCTTGTGATGTAGAAAGAATGGAAGAGACTATACCTGTGCTGTTCTGCGGGAAATGTGTCTTGTCGCAACATTAAAATCAACAGCACACTGAAAACAATAAGAACACAAAAATACACTTATCCCAAATCATCAGCAGTACACCAACATATGTACAAACTTTGATACGACTTAATTAGATCTCCCAACATAGGGATATTCCAGTGATGCTGCTTCAGCCCCACACAAACTCAGTGTGTGATTGATAAGCGTTCACAAATGAGTTGCAAACCAATTGCTACCAAGAATACTACAGAAATACCAGCTTTACAAAATCTGGCCAGACTGACATATTAAAAATTTTGAATTTTGTAACTGCCTAGAAAATCAACACAGAACAATTCCATAGTTTTGCTCTTCAGTCCCAAAACGCCCAAACTGTCTATCTGGCCGAGTATGAGCTGTTACCATCAGGCAGAAGGTTCAGGGTGCCATCTCTCCGAAACCAACCGGGCCCGCAGGTCATTTGTGCCTATTAGTATTGGATTTCTTAACAAAAAAATGAGATAATAAAACAGAGCTGAATCTTGGGGTGTCGGGGAGCTGCACTTTAGTATAATTTACATAGCACTCAGATGTTTGTGTTGGCAAAGCAGTTGTCTGGTTGTTGGTCTGTTGATGTTGTTTGTCTGACGTTTGCTGTAAGACACAAAATTAATTTCTGCAAGGACTAAAAAACATCTATCTATCTATCTATCTATCTATCTATCTATCTATCTATCTATCTATCTATCTATCTATCTATCTATCTATCTATCTATCTATCTATCTATCTATCTATCTATCTATCTATCTATCTGTCTATCTGTCTATCTATCTATCTACGATAGATTGTAACAGAAGTACCAGTACTCAAAGCTGATTGAAGTGTGGCATGCTGTGCAGAAAAAATGAACCCGTGCTGCAGTCACCTCAGTGTTGCACCATCAGTGGATCGTTACCATACTGCCTTAAATGAAATGTTTTTAAAGTCTAAAGATTTAACTTTTACGTTTGTTCTTCACTTACTGGTATGTTCATAAACAAATTGCTTACAAATGGTTCTTTTTGAAATAGTTTGATCTGGTGTTAAGATCTTCTTGGAAATTCATCAGAGGGTTATTTCAGTTGAAATCTTTGCCAACAATTTTGATTCTGCATCAGTTCCTTTATCAAATGCATCTCAGCAGAGTTCAGAGTAAAACTCAGAAGCATATATTATGCTTTGAAATAGCTCTGCAGTCTTGCTGGGGTATTTTAAATCTGCATACTCTTGGTTTACATTACAAAAAGTGCCTTTGAGTCAGATTGTTTGAGGTTGTTTTGCCCACTTGAAAGCTGGTTCAGATCAGAGGCAAATTCTCACTTCAAGTGGAGAGAATGCTGCATGAGCAGATCAATACAGGTCCTCGCAAAACCCAGCGCTATCATCCTACGAAGCAGGATGCTGACTCCTCTGATGTTCCCACTGAACTGTATAATCTTGCATGCCAGCTGTACAATAGAAGATGTGGAGACTGTTGTAACAGACAACTGTTGGAAGGATTGCCATGAAATTTGGAGGATCAGGATGAATTGTAATAACTTTGTTGATGCTTTAACTTATTATCTAGCACCAGCATCCAGTCAAAATGTAAATTTGTGAAATGCTTGCAAAACTAATGACATTCCCATCTGTGCTTTGTGCTTAGTGCTAGTATGTTAGCATACTAATATTAGAACTTAGCATTTAGACTCTTGACAGGTGTCTAAATTGAAAACAATTCCATTCAAAGAGTTGGGTTTCAGTAACAGATTCATTGGTTTGAAGGCTTATCAGACAGAACCATCTTGTGTGCTCGCACTTGGTGGTCTGGCAAAGGTTTCGCAGTGGTCAACTCTTTTGCCAGACAATCCTGTTTGGGGTTTTTTGCCAAAGCCCCCCTGTTATGTCGTCGGATCAGTCGCATTAAAACGAATGAGAGGGCTGGGTTTTGCATGTACACCAGATTGAAAGTCTGAGCTTTGTTCTTCAGTTGAGGCCTCTGAAAGAGATTAATATATTTTTCCTAAAATGTATTTGCAACATGTATCTGTCCCACTATCAGTTAGAAGCAGACAGCTTGCAAGCATAACTGATAACGTGTAACATAAATCAGTCTAAACAAATAGAAACAAATGTGTCCAGCCTGGCTGTGACTCAGCCTTACCAAATGCCAAGGAGATACAGATACAGTACGTCCCGGCAGATTCTTATTGAGGTTCACACTCTTCTTAAAGTGAGACTGAATCTCTGCCTGAATGTGAGAGAATGTTGTGTCTACAGCAAACAACATGAGTGAGCAGTACGATTTTAAACACACTTTGAGGCAGGAGCTTACACTATCACTTCACTGCACCAAGAGCACACAGCAGGTGCAGACAAAGAACCGGCTCATCTTCAAATAGAAAACTTGAAAGCAGGTGTTCACTTATGCCAGGAAGAGTCCTGGGACAACAATAGCAGGCACTAAAGCTGTGTGATCTTAATGTAAAAATACACCCTTTTTATCAGCTTAATGATGAACAAAATGCAATATGTCAATCTAATTTGCACAAATTACATTGTAGTGTCTGTTTACATGTGGCGATCTCCGCAGGAAGTGTTCAGTTGGTAAGTTGTTATCTGTAATGTTTAATACACAGATCACTAATACACATCTGTATGGTGCAGTATCGTAAAACACAATATCTGGCACATTTTCTATTGAGAAATGTCGACTGGCTTATCATGGCTTGTGTAGTCACATGTCCTAGTTAATGATGTCAATTACTGAAACATAAGTGGTATCACACATGACTTATTGGTACATTTGAATTAACTTTGCATCAGTTTATTCAAACACAACGCAGAATCCCACACAACGTCTTTGCTGTAGACCTCACTCTGATAAAGAATGAACGTTTCATTAACTTTATCGTCTCTAATGGGAAATTGATTTGCAGTGTGGGCACAAAAAGATACATATAAAAAAGCAAATACACACATATCAACAGGTGCATCAGAGGCAGTACACAAATGACACCCATACTGCTGGGAACATCACAAAATGGAGCAAAAAAGGAATGGGGAAGAGTGTAAAGTTACAGATTTTATACAGTTTTAATAGTGACTTCCACAGCAAACAGACGTATGTGAGTGCTTTTATCCCACCAGATTGGTAAACATTCCCTTAACAGTTTTTCTGGATAATGAAATACCAAATTCCAAAATAGAACAAATGTCCCCTCAGGCTGAGTTGTAGAAACTGGTGATCTCCTGACGTTTCATCAGGCACCATCATCAAGCCAAAATTTCCATTTGTAATTTATGAGCAAATACTTTCAAAATGAGTGACATTCCCATCAGTCTCAGCTGTAGCCTACTTTGTACTTAGCGCTAATTAGCAAGCGTTAGCATGCCAACATGTGAAACTAATGCTGTGTCTCAATTTGCATTCTTCCGTACCTAAATTTGCTATTTTATAAATGCGTTCACACCAACAGCAAAATGCAGTACACTGTTAGTACCTGCATGGTGTGCTCATAACGATCGATAAGTTGAGTAAGGAATTCTGGGAACTTCTCAGCCACAGCGGTCGCCATCTTGGTTACGTAGCAGATGGGAGGGAAGCTGCAGCGGTTGCGATAGCGGTTTTTGCTACATGAAAAAATAAAAAATTTATCATTTTTTTTTTTTTTTTTTTTTATGTAGTAGCTTCCTAAAAAGGTTGCAATTGCAACAATTACAGATTGTCATAGCTTAGATGGAATGATTCAGTACTATTAACTTTTAGTTCTGGGGTGGTCAATACGCCACCATTGTCCCAGTATGCCTCAGTCCATCCATAACACACACATCCACACCCACATCATCTTGGAAGTCAATCTGTTTAAGATGAATGAACAAACGGCAGGTGCACGACTGATACAGTAGAGTTAATGTAAAGCGTCACATAACTCAGTCAAGGCCAAAAACGTAAGCAACACATTGATCATTGACTTCCTCTCTTTCTCTGACAGTATCTTCAAATTGAGCTTCAAATTGTAGAAGAGAGAAAGAGACCGAGCAGCAGTGTGTGTTCCTTCAAGTAAATGAGACATTCTGATAATGATTGGACTGCTTACAACTTACTGCACTACTTTTCAAGTTTCTCCCTCCTGAGACAAACATTCTCAGCAACTGACAAACTAGTAAACATGTTAATGTGGGTTTGTTTTGTATGTGTGTGTTTTTGTAATCAGAATGGGTGGAGTGCAGTATAATACGGTTGTATATTATGGAAGTTGCTCTGCCTGTGTGTGTATTATAACTG